CCTGAAACAGACTATCGCTCATTGACAAGTTAACAGCCAATATGTGAAGTACCCCAGGAGCCACAGCAGTGAGCAGGGAGATTCTTTAAAGAAGAGATGCAAATCTTCACTGGCATCAAGTTCGAATCCTGAACTACTTCAACAGAGAGTACGTGTACAAGGCTTGGAGTGTTTGTATTCTCCATTGTTTCCAATCACCTGTCTGGTTATCTCTTCCCACCATTGAGTGTCAGGGATCAGATGTCGGGCCTCAGTCAAGAATCTTTATCCATTGAGCAATCTCACTAGGTCAAGAACTTACATTTTGCATTCTAAAAACAACAGACAAATAATAATTTAACTTGGAACTGTTATTGATTAGTTAAGCCAGACATAGCTTGTGTTGTTAATATGCTTCCTATTTCCTGAATACATTTCCTGCCCAATCTATTATGTTCCACTTTCACTTGCAGAACTTTTGTTTTCTGGGGTGGTGTAGGGGAAAATGAGATGGGACAGATGTCTTTCAAGCTATGTGTTACTCATCTTTATCACTAGAATGATAGCAACAATGGAAGTTCATTGTTCACTATTCCTTTCTTTCCAGGTGTTCCTAATCATCCTTGGCTTTCACCTTCCCTGTGATCCTACACTTCAGTGGATAGGGGGCTGTATTCCTCTCCACAAGCTACCTCATTTCTAAACGCCATGCTTTTGTTGTTCCTTGTTGCTTACTAGCCTGAGAATGTGATAGGAAGTTTCTGTTACATTGATCCTTGCTTAGTGTTACTCAAGCCATGTTTCTGTTGGTTTTGGGAGGTGGCAGGTATCTTGTTCCTTCTCAGTAAGGCAGACAGATTGCCACATATCTTTGAGTGTTTAGTCCAAGAGAGATTTTATTCTCCTTCCCTTGTGCCAGGAGATCTCAAATAGTATCCAGGTAATTGGCAAACATTAATTATATTTTTATTGGATTAAATGTGACATTTTGATCTTTGTGTATATCATATGATATTTGGTGAAGTAATAGATTTGCTTGCTATATTTTCTTTTTAAGGAGTGATAAATCATTTATCCTGTACCATTTTTACTGCAGAAAAGAAGAGTTTCTTTAGTGACAAAGAAATTAAAACCAAAGTGACTCAGAATAACAATATCTACCAAGTAATTGTCCTTAGAAATAAAAAGTATTTATTTTTTTAAGATTTATTTATTTATTATGTATACAGTGTTCACCTACATGTATACCTGCAGGCCAGAGAGCACACCAGATATCATTACAGATGGTTGTGAGCCACCATATGGTTGCTGGGAATTGAACTCTGGACCTCTGGAAGAGCAGGCAGTGCTCTTATCCTCTGAGCCATTTCTCCAGCCCCCGAAAAGAAGTATTTAATTTGAATGATATAGAGAAGGCTTGATCATTTTTGATCAGTATTTCCAATATTTAGGTTACCTAGAGTTTTGTATCCTTTCTGATCTCTTTCTTTTTATTTATTCTTTTTTCTTTAATTTCTTTCATTTTACATTCTAACCCCAGTTCCCCTTCCCTCCCCTTCTGCTGCTCCCAGCCTCCCTTTCCACCCCCATCTACTCCTCAGCAAGAATAAGACCTTCTTTGGGTAGTCAACAAAATCTGGCCTACCAAGGTGAGGCAGAAATAAGCCCCTCCCCCCTGTATCATGTCTGAGTGAGGTATCCCACCATAGGAAATGGGCTCCTAAAAACCAGTTCATGCACCTGGGGTATGTCTTGGTCCTACTGCTAGGTCCATCCCCCCACAACAGATCAAGTTCTAACTGTCACCCACATTTAGAAGACCTACTTTGGTCCCATGCAGGTACCTCAGCTATCAGTCCATAGTCTGCGAGCAACCACTAGCTCAGGTCAGTTGTCTCTGTTGTCTCTGTAGTTTTCCCCATCATAATATTGACCCCCTTATTTGTATGATCTCTCTTCCGTCTCTTAAAATAATCCATTTTAAAAGTGGGGTACCATTCTAAACAGTCAATTCTCAAGAGAAAAAAAAAACTCAAATGACTTAAAGACATTTAAGGAGTTGCTTAACACCCTTAGCCATCAGGGAAATGCAAATCTAATATGACTCTGAGATAACATCTTACACTTATCAGAATGACTACGATCCAAACCACTGATGACAGCTTATGCTGAAGTGGATGTAGAATAAGGGGAATACTCCTCCATTTCTGGTGGGAGTGCAATGAAAGAGATATCTTGATAAAGCCATAATGGGGTTAAGGAGAAACCTGGTGGTAGAGATTTTCCTAGGAATCCACAAGGATGAGCCCAGCTAAGGCTCTTAGCAACAGTGGAGAGGGTGCCTGAATGGGTCTTCCTCTTTAATCAGATAGTGACTACCCTAATTGTCATCATAGAATCTTCATCCAGTAACTGATGGAAGCAGATGTAGTGACCCACAGCCAAGCACCTGGAGTTCGGTTGAAGACAAATTTCTTTCTTTATATATTTTATTTCCAGAAAAAAATGAAATAGTCAATTTTATAAGTTGGCACTGCCTGAGAAGATATACTAGTTAACTGTGATTAAAAATTGTATCCTCAAATGCTGTTCACAATAGTAATAAATTAGGTAAAAATGGGACCATCTTTAGAGCACAATAGGTGAATGGAGTAAGAGAATGTGCCACCCAAATATAACAGAATAATCCTCAGCCATAGAAAACAATGAAACCCTGTCGCTTGTGATAACATGAATGGAACTAGAGAGCGTTATGTTTAAGTGAAATAATTCAGATCTCACAGGTGAACTGTAAAAAATGCCAGTACATAGAAACAGTGTGTGCAGAACAGTGAAAAGGTCATGGGATGCTTTAGAAGACAATGGCCCCATGGGCTCATATGCCCCCAACTGCTGCAATTATTGGGGAAGTATTGGGAGGTGTGGCTTTGTTGGAGGAGAAGTAACAGGGCAGGCTTTGAGATTTCAAAGGACTGCACCATTCTGCATCTCTCTCATTTTGTGGCCAAGACTCAAGATGCAAGCTCTCAGGTTCTACTGAGTGCTGTGTCTTCTTGTCTGCTGCCATGCTCCCCACTGTGATGATAATGGACTCTAACATTTTGATACTGTAAACTCCAAATAAGTCCTTTCTCCTATAAGTTGCCTTGTCACAGACATGGAAAAGTGACTAAAATAAGAGGTGCAAATATTAGTCATAATATTTCATTAATGCCAAGTCAATGGCATTGGAACTATGGTTCAAATCAACAACAGAAACATTTTTAAAAACTTGAGGTTGATGTTACAGTTTTCCATTATTTCTGTATTTCCCACAGGGTTTTCCTATGTGCAGGAGTTATGGGGTTGTTCTGTGGTTTAAAGGAAATTGAGATGGTTTTGACTTTAGAATGACTGCCATTTATAGTGTTTATGATCTTGGACCAGTGACCAGTCTGGGAACTGAAATAGAAAACACATTGAAATTAATGAATGTGTAGAGTAGAACTTTGCAGATAATTATTTGTATCCATTCCCAACTAAAATAGGAGATTTTATTTTATTCATCTAAATCACCTAAAATTAAGCTTGATAATCAAGAGGTGAACAGATGTTTGGATAAGGCTAGCCACTTATGTGATTAATGAGAATCAGAAAAAAATGGAGAAGACAAAATTCAACAGAATGCTGAGCATGTTCATTTCAAACTCTGAGAGAAAGATGTTGCCTAGAACATACACTCTTTTTTCTTTTTTTAAATGAGCATATACCTAACCTCATTAGCTTGGCCTTGATGATTCCTTCCACAGATAGTAAAAGATGCATCAGTTTCTCAAGGATTCATGCAGAATAATGGCATGGTTTTACTCTCATCTTCTTTTTTAGGGGCCAGTCTTTAGCTGAATCATGGGAGCTGTTTGTGTTTCACAAGAGCTAAGCTGGCACATGTCACAGGCAGTGGACAGGCAGCTTGGACTGTAAAGAGCTCATAGTTGTCCCTGGGCATAGTGCAAATCGCTCCCTGGGACCTTCCCCTGCCCAGAATCCTGAGGACAGCTTAGAAGCCAGTTACATGGAGGATTCTGTACAGTTTTTAAGTGGGAAGTGCTGAGTCCTTTGGGGTGTCCCACTCTGACTGGCAAATGGGGGAGCCACTTCAGAATCACGGACATAGGTATATCTGTCCCTAGTTTTACTGGATTCTGGTTATGGTTAGTGACAACACCCATTTTTTTCTTTTATTGACTTCAAAGTGTCTGCATCTGAAACTGAGTCCTAATGTTGATCTACAAAGGGGGCCTAAAGGGGATCCTAGAACATGGTGAAAGAGATAAACACGGGGGAGGGGACTTGAGGAAATTTTGTTGTTCTTTCCTAATTAGGTGTTAAGGACATGTTTTAATTTTTTTTCAGAATGAGAAAAATAAGGGCTTGTGCAGAAGGTTTATTTAGAAAAGTAGATGTGACAAATACATACTAATTAAAGTGATCTGCCAGGAAATGTTAGCTGCATAAGACTGGAGGAAGAAAAGAGATCTGGTATCAGGCACATGTCTTTGTCCCTTACTTCCTGTTTGACTTTGGACTTAATCCCAATACTGAAATTATCTGGAACTTCTCTGGTTCCGTAGTTAGAAGAACAAAGGACACAGCTATCTAGAGGGAGAAGAACAAAGGACAAAGCTGTCTAGGGGGAGAAGAACAATGGACACAGATATTTAGGAGGGGAATAGCAATGGCCACATATATCTAAGAGGAGAAAATAGTGGGCACACATATCTAGGGGGAGAAGAACAATGGACACCATATCTAGGAGGCGAAGAACAATGGACACAGATATCTACAGGGAGAACAATGGGCACACATATCTAGGAGGTGAAGAACATTGGGCACACTATGGGTAGGGAGAACAATCAATGGGTGAGATATTTGGGGGGTGGATCTCCCATATTGTTAAATGAACTCTTCTGGAATTACTGAGAGCAAAATGAGAATAATCTTGAAGTCATCATTAATTTTTAGATCTCACATGGTTGAATTTGGTTGTCAATATTTTGTGATGAAGGTAATGTATCATGAATGGTTGACATTCACTGTTGTAATAATAATTTAAGCTCATATAATGAGTCTGTTCAAATCACAGAGTGTATTTACCAACCTGTACACATAATTAACATTTTAATTCCCCTGAATATCTTATCTCATTATCCACACAGCTTAGGAAAATTTATTAAATAGACCTTAGCAACCAGCAAGCTTAGGCTCTCTCAGACCACACAGAAGGATACTGAGTTTCTATTTGAGCTCCTTCGGAAGGAGGAGAGGAGGTGGAATAGGTTTTCTGGTTGAATCTGTTAAGTAGAGCTTTGAAGTAATGAATGTTGAATTTGGTTTGAGTGGTGAAATTTGAAAGTAGTATTTTTGCTTTCAAAATGTAAATTTGCCCTTGTGCATATCACAGAGCTGCACTTCCCATGACAGTACACTATACTATGTCCTAACCACGTTCATAACATTTATAACACTCAATTCAAGCCCTCACACTGAATATCCAACACTGAATAGTCGCCCACATTCCAGGGAGGTGGGACTTCTTTCCATGGTTCTCATTGTTTGCTTTCCTCTTTTTCTTCCACTTGTTCCTGAAAAAGAAAAATGTAAATGTTAACAATGGAGTCAATTGTCAAAGAAGAACATACCTGAGATCCTCAAATTCCCATTGTCATTTACATCTTGATATAGGAAGAAACACATTGGTAGTGCAAGGTACCATGGACAATAGAAAAATGAAAACCAAGGAAACTTTCTTATTCTATTAACTGAGTACCTGAAAGTGTGCTCAGAACTCAAAATTGAAAAATGTTTTTTTTTAAATCTTACATGAAGGGGAGAAAGTTATATTCTTTTTGCTGATAATTTCTGATCTATATTTTGTAAATTACCAGAATGTGCAAATTAGCAGAATTTACAGAACTATGAAAATTTTTGACTCAAATTGAAACTGTATAGCCACAAAGATAAACTCAGTTAACATGTATGACCTTTACATTTGACTAAACTTTAAAGAGCTGCTTATTGAAGAACAGAGACTAAACAATTGGGGTTATAATGGTGTAAATACAAACACAAGGAAAGTGAAAAGTGTTTTATAAACCGCAAAATGTGTTTTCCAGGAGCAGTTTATTTGCCTTGACTTACAAAAAAGTCGCCATCTCATTGAAGTGATGAGAACTGGTGATGGAACCCTTAGCCACACTCAGGGAATAGACATTGAAAGCAGCAAAACAGGGTGACTGTTCTCTGACCAAGTGTACCTGAAGGGGTCTTGGGTTTCCTGCCTCCCCTAAATGATCATGTCTACCTGGAGGCTCCAAGCATAAGTGGGACTGAAACTCCAGTTCAGACATCAACCCGTTAAATGAGCAGCGTTAGAATCAAATTGCCAAGTTTTCATGGAGAAGATGGATTACAATGACCCTCCCCCAATTTCAGCCCAGTTCCTAAATGATTTTAGGGTTACCTCTTCATGGCAGGGAATGGTGCAGTGGCATCAGAGGACCATTAATGAAATGCTGTTTCCTTCTGTTCATGAAAATTGAATCAGGAAAACAATGATGTTGGTGGAAACTGAGCATCCAGTTAATCACCTACGCAACTACCTCCCAGAATTCATATTCACCTTAACCTGTGCTATGGACCGTCTCTTTCAGATGAGCAATAGGGAATCTGACTATAACTGAGTTTAACTTTTCCTTCTGTTCCTCTGTTTCTTTCTTTGACTGCTTACCAGTCCCAATTCTGCTTTTCCCCCCAGTATTTTGTGATTTCTTACTTCCTCAAAGCTCTCTCCAGCTCTCACCATTGTCTGTCTTGCTGCTGCTGCCAGCAACTGTAAACCAGGCAGCTTAAATAAAAAGACTCAGCTTTCTCTCATCCTAGTCATCATTCCAGCTGCCAAGATTACCAACCTGGCCCATTGTTTCTCGTTTAGTTGCCAATAAAATTATCCTTGGGTTTCTTTCAAAATTTTTTTATTAGGAAGAAATGTTTTAGAGTTTATTGCCTTTTTTGGTAATGGAAGATTAAGTAAAATAAGAATAACACAATAAAGAAAAGTGATCAATGTAAAATAAGAAGGATAAAATTGAAATTTGTATCTTTCAAAAGGCCACACATACTTGAGAAGCAGAAAACCCAGATTTATTAAATTTCTTAAAATCATTCTTTGGACATATGTTCTTTGGTGACATAAATATTAATCAAATTACCATTATAGAAGTCAAATGGTTTACAAATTAACTTTATAGAGAAGTTATCAAATGCTAGTAGATCTAAACAAGAAAATAGATGGAGAAATGCTGTATCATAGGGATTGTAGCCAGGGAAGATGAGGAAGTTTCTCAGCTGCACATCCTGTTAAGAGAGGAGAATTCTGTACATCAAGGATCCAAACCACAAACATGGAGGACAATTAAGCAATGCAGAAACAAAGAACTAGAGGTACTAACTCTTAAACTATTTAAAAAGATAATACAATCATTTATTCTGTAAAATTTGTAAATTGTTAAGAATAGATGAAAAATCTAATGCTGAAAACTAGATATTTTGCAGATACTCTGATACATTAATATTGAAATAATCTTATAAAACTTGGTGTTAAATTTAATACAGTGAATACAATTAAGTACTACTAAATAAAATGCACATCATACGAATGCTATCAGAGAACACAGTGGTAAGAGGGACTGGCAATCCAAACAACAGAAGATAAGTGCCAGGTTCCCCATTCTATAAAAGTTTCTGAGTTTTCTTAATGTTAATGGAAGAAATGCCTGTTATAATCATGGTGGACAATTAGAAATTTGGACTGGAGGGCAATTGCTGTTTGAAAACTACAATTAATTTTGATTATTGAGTGGGATAAAGTGGGTAAAGAAAATGGCAGCATCTGCAAAAGAAAAAAAATGAAACTTTATCTTTCAGCCCTCATCGCTTACTCCCTTTCCTCCTTAGTAAGACCCTCAGTCTCATTGTTATGGCAGCACTCCTCCAAACTAAGGGAGTTATTCAGGATAACGTAAGTTTAAATCCGGGTGATGCCCATGTTTCTCTTTGCTATCTGCCCATTTTTCCAGCCTTCTTTAGAACTTCATATAGATGGTTCAATTCTGATCAGTGGAATCTAAAGACAAGTAGGAGACAATGAGGGGGGATGGAGCTGAGGTCCTCTTAGATCAGTGAGGCAAAGGGAAAGGAAAGGTTGTTGGTGTTTTCTGGAGTGGAGGCAGCCAGTTTGGGAAGATGAGGTCATGAGGTGTCAGGTGGAACTAAGTGAAAGCATTCACTATGCTTAGGACAGGGATGGTGCAGAGAAGATAGAGGGGCATGTTCCAGCCTGTGTTGAACTAGCCTTGGAACTACCTCGTGAAATGTTGCTGTTAGCTTAGACAAGAAACAGCACATCTACATATGCGCATAAATACCACACATTACATGGCACTGTTTGTGGCATTAGTTTTCATTGTTTTGATACCTGTGTGTATTCATCTGATACAAATGCAAAAGTCCCAGATATGCGGATCAAAGAAAAAATAGCAGTTTATACAATCATCCCTTACCACTCTCTGATAAGATTGTCCTACTGTAAAACGTTGTTATAGGCCTGTGCAAGCTGCAGGGCCCGAATTTGGAGATCTCTATCCCTCAAGTGAAGAGGCAGCCATGGCTCTAGCACTTACAATGTAATACAGGGATATGGAGGAGACCCACAATCCCAGGGGTTCACTGATCAGCCAGGCTAGAGGACACTAAAATTATAGGTTTGGAGACAGAGAGATGGGGGTTAGAGGGGGAAAGGGAGAAGGAAAGGAAGAGGGAAAGTGCAGGGGAGTGAGGGAGAGAGAGAAGACATTCTTTAGAGAAAATAATGTGAAGTGACTGAGACAGATATCCCAATGTCAGCCTCTGACTTCTGTACACAAACACCCAGGTGAGTGCAGACACACACAGACACACACACACACACACACACACACACAGACACACACACACACATTTTAAGAAGCAAATTGATCTGAAACTCAGAATTGTAATAGTGCATTATTAATCAATCTGATGATGCTACATAAATTGTAATATTTTAAATGTAAATAGCATTTGTATTAAATGCATTGTTCTGATAATATAATTTCAGTGGTTTTTCCACTGTATATATTTTAGACAATTTATAATTTAAATAGCTGTTTGTATTGTTAAACAAAGAACTGTGTTCTGAAACAGAAACAAAACTATAGGTATTTAAAGGAAATTGATTCTGTTATTTGAAATCATGGTTATATGCATATGAATCCCAGGAAAATAAAATGAGTGGATAAGAAACCTCATTAGGTGTCCCTGGGTAGAATAGATGGCCTGACTTAATGGGTTTGACAGTATCCACAGACCCCATAAAATATGTGGTATAGCCCTGCCATAGCCAAAGTTGAGAAAATTTATCCTGAGGCAGAAGCTGTAGTAGAGACTATTTTGTGGAGAGGAGACAGACAGCAGCAATGATACAGAATAATTTCAGGGAAGGTGTGTTGTGTGTGGTGTGGGATTACTTTATGAGTTTTCGAATGGGCTCTATGAAATATTTATAAGAACATTTAACAGCCGTTGAGTTAGACTTTCCAGCACTGTGGCCAAATACTGGAGCGACAACTGAAGGGAGGTGCCTTTCTTTAAGATGCGTCCAGGGTAGAGTTTCCTGACCCCATGTGAATTGGCAGAATGTGGCAATGGGGCTCTCAAGGTAGAGCACATTTGTCATCTTTGTCACAGCAGGAGGCTCAGAGTATGACAAGAAGGGACCAGAGATACCCCAAACACTACTTCCTCCAGCTAACTCCATCCTAAAGTTTCTAGAACGTCCCACAACAGCACCAGTAGCTATGGATCAATCATTTAAAACAAGGACTGTGAGGCTTATTTCCAGTTGAAACTGGAACTGATTTTGTTACATCATTTGCACCTCAGAAGTTTATGATAAATGATGTGGCCTCAGATTTTAATCCTAGGAAGGTGTTAGTATGTATACGTACACTGTCATCAGCTTACTGTACCTGTGGTATTAAAGGGTCACTAGGTAGCAAGAAGGCTCAGCTGGTAAAATATGCCTGACAACCTGAGTTTGATCCTGGGAGCCCAAGTGCTGGCAGGACAAAATCCTGTTGTAAATTGTCCTCTGACTCCAGCATACACATTCATATACACACAAAAAGAATAAAATATGATAACACTAAAGTGCTTCACAAACACACCAATATGTATATGTTTTACCTTTCCTCTTCCTGGAATATACTTGACATTTGTTATCGTTGTATATGGTTCTTGCATCAGGCTTAAAATCTTCTTCTTTAGACAAAAAGGGGAATTGCAGTAGCATCTCACCTTGCCAGTGAAGTTGTGTTAGAGGCCACAGCCCTTTGGGAATGGCTTCAGATGCATATGTGACCTGATGGTGGGGAGGAGTGGGGCAGGCTCTTGCTCTTCTCTCTCTCTCTCTTGACTTGAGGATCAAATTAGAAGGGCAGAGACTGCATCTTCTGGAGCAGGAAGGCTGTGGTGGTTCTTTAGTATTATCTGTGTATGTTGTTCCCCAATAAAACACCCATTCATCATTTATCTTAGGTCTAGTGAACTCATTAATGCCCTGCCTTCACACCAATAAATTCAAATTCTGGTTAGAGACAAAGAAAAGGAAAGGTGTGAGTTATTCAAAAATATTATGAAAGCTAATTTATAAGAAGAAATATCAAGTGATATCACATTTATACAAAATAAGTTAAAATGAACCATTCATGATCTAAAAATCAGAAAAACTTAGCGAAACATGAAAATGAAACACTTTTTATACAATTTAAGAGTGTGTGTGTGTGTGTGTGTGTGTGTGTGTGTGTGTGTGTGTGTGTGTGTCCTGGGAACAGCATTATCAGACATGATAAAATCTTGTCTAGCTTAGTAATTACCAATCACTTGAAACTTCATTTGAAATTTAAAGTTCTTTATAAAAACAAAAAGCAAAATCAAGCTGGGCGTAGGTGCCTGTAATCTTTGTACTGGAGAAATGGTAGCTGGAGAATTAGAAGCTACAGGACCACCTTGACTATATGATAATTTTATGGCTAGCCTGAACTATATGAGATTCTGTCTCAAAAACAACAGAAAAACAGTAACAAAGCAAAAATCAATCCATACATTGATCAAATTGCTTAGTCGCTAATATAGTTTGTACACTCACTGGCCCTCTCAGGTCAGGGGCAATATGTGGCTGTAAAGATTTGCACTTCTTGGCAGACCCTGCTCATTTTCACTTACCTGATGAACCTAGAAAATAAAGTCATGTTTGTTTTCCTACCAACAACTGCCCTAATATGTGCTCACAAAATCCAGATGACTACATCTACAGCCCTGTACAAGGATCAGGAAGGGAAGGTGGTTTTAGGCCTCTATCCTCAGAGGGTGAAGTAACTTCTCCCTGGCACTTCCAACTTGTTAAGGGCTCCTGGCCTACCATTTTCTTTCTGCTCATCACTGAATGG